GACCTGACCTAGGGTGGATTTTATACTGGGTTTTTTAGGAATTTGGAAGACACAACTTTAAAATTTGGTTTAATTCGGTTTTAAGGGGGGGATTGTATATATGCTTTGGTTTTAAATATGTTGTGCGCCGCCCTGAGTCCCGCTGGGAGAAGGGCGGCATATAAATTAAATTAAATAAATAAAATAAATAAATAAATAAATAAATGTGAACCGGTTGCCAAACATCCTAATTTTGATCATGTGACCGTGGGGATACTGCCGTGGTCATAAGTGTTAACTGAGCCTATCAAATGTGAAATGAAGAATGACAAAAGGTTTGGAGCCATTCAAACTTTGGGAGGGGAATTACACTGATGCCACAACAGAGAAGGCACTTCTCTGGGTCCCATTGCTTTATGGAAGAAGGGCTTTGAAGCCTGCCTATTTCTGCTGGATCTTAATGGGACAAGCAGAGACAATTTAGGACAGGGGTAAGCAACCTTGGCTCTTTTATGACTCATGGACTTCAACTCCCAGAATTCCTGAGCGAGCCATGCTGAGGGGAAAGGGAGAGGTTTCCAAGCTGAGCCATGCTGGCTCAGGAATTCTGGGAGTTGAAGTCCACGAGTCATAAAAGAGCCAAGGTTGCCTACCCCTGTTTTAGGATAAGTGGTAACACAAGAATGATAGGGTCAAAAGGCGAATACAGATAATCCTCAGCTTACAACCACAATTGAGTCCAAGATGTCTGTTGCTAAGCAAGACAATTGTTAAGTAGTTTTTGCCCCATTTTACAATCTTTCTTGCCCCAGTTGTTAGGTGAATCACTGCAGTTAAGTTAGTGACACAGTTGTTACGTGAACCTGATATCCCCAGTGACGTTGCTTGTCAGAAGGCCACAAAAGGTGATCGCATGACACCCCCTGGACACTGCAGTCGTCATAAATTGCCAAGCGTTCAACTTTTGATCACATGACCGTGGGGATGCTGCAATAATCATACGTGTGAAAAACGGTCATAAGTCACATTTTAATGCCATTGTAATTTTGAACTGTCACTATATGAACAGTTGTTAATATGGACTTAATAATAATAATAAAGTTGGAAGGGACTTTGGAGGTCATCTAGTCCAACCCCCTGCTCAGGCAGGAAACCCTATACCATTTCTGACAAATGGCTGTCCAGTCTCTTCTTAAAAACTTTCAGTGTTGGAGCATTCACGACTTCTGGAGGCAGGTTGTTCCACTGGTTAATTGTTCTAAGTGTCAGGAAGTTTCTCCTTAGTTCTAGGTTGCTTCTCTCCTTGATATGGACTTGTAGTCCATATCTTCTGCATGTCATTAAACCAGAGGCTGCTCTAGTCTAGGCCAAACTTTGTAGCTAGTTTCCAATATCAAATCAGCGTCTCTGCCTCCCAAATCCTCTCAAACGGTCACTAAGGACTGGTCCTAAGGCGAGGACTATATTTGGATTGATTCTCTTTTTTTTCCCCCTATTGTCCTCAGGTCCCAAGCTTGACATGACCTCACAGCTCAAGAGCGTAAAAGAAGCACAGATCTCAGTTCATCCAGCTGCGAACGAAGAGGAGACTCCATTGGAGAACGGCTTAGGTGAGAGAGCCGGTGAAAACGCCCCCTTCAAAAACATTTTGCCTTGCAAGGTCTTAGAATTAAGTGTTTAAGACATTGTAAAACTTAGTACATTTTTGTAAAACAGTTTAATAAATACTTTTTTTCTTGGAGGGGAAAAAAATGGAAACTGCCATACTGAACTTTTTTTGGGCCTCCTCTCCCCAAGATTATAACACTGTTGACTCATTGAGCGACGTATATTATTTTATTATTATATTACTTTGCCCAGAGTTCCCTGATGTAATAATAAAAATGGAACAAGGAGAGGAGCAGTGGCTGCCAGTAAATGCGGAACAAGAAAGAAAAGCGTTGTTCTCACGTCTCCAAGAAAGTGGAACTGCAATGTATAACACTTCAGGTAAGAAGGAAAATCCAGTTCATCTCAAATCATTAGCAATCTTCTCCATTTGGCTCATTGCAAAGGCAACGCTCTCTGGTATAAATGAACAAAGAGTCAAGAAGAGAACCATAGCAATGGCACTTAGACTTATATACCGCTTCACGGCGCTTTACAGCCCTCTCTAAGCGGTTTACAAAGTCAGCATATTGCACCCCCAACAATCTGGGTCCTCATTTTACCGACCTCGGAAGGATGGAAGGCTGAGTCAACCTTGAACCAGTCAGGATCGAACTCCTGGCAGTGGGCAGTGAGTTAGCCTAACCACTTCTAACCACGGCGCCACACGTCACAGCTTTTTTGGAAGGTCAAAGTCTTCCAAGCACTGCAAAACTCCATGGGGTAATTGTTGAAAGTTGAATGACCAGAATATTTTCTCCCAGTTCTAAGGAAGGTGATAAACAGATTGGAACATGAGGAAGAGAACTCTTGTGTGATACGTACAAAGTAGTTTGCCGCAGAACACATACAGGTAGTCCTCGAGTTACGACTACAATCGATGTTATGCTTATGTTGCTAAGTGAAACATTTGTTAAGTGAGTTTTGCCCCATTTTACAGCTTTTCTTGCCACAGTTGTTAAGTGAATCATTGCATTTGTTCAGCTAGTGACAAGGTTGTAAGATGAATCTGGCTTCTCCATTGACTTGGCTTGTCAGAAGGTCGATCACGTGACCCCGGGATGCTGCAACCGTCATAAATGTGAACCAGTTGCCAAGCATCTGAATTTTGATCACATGACTAGGGGATGCTGCAATGGTTTAAGTGTTTCATGCAGTTGTAACTTTAAAGGGTCACTAGCTGAACAATTGTAAGTTGAGGACTATCTGTAGTAGCATAAAAAGGAAAGTGAAAGCAAATTATTCAGTCTTGTATGGAATACACGGATATACAGGTAGACCTTGGTTAACAACAATTTGTTCAATAGGTGTTCAAAATTATGATGGTGCTGAATAAGCGGTACTTATACCAGTCCCTGGGGTTACAATTATTGAAGCACCCCTGAGGTCACATGAGATGTGTGGTGTGGGTCACGGAGAGGGTGCGAGGGAGCCTGTAAGGTGTGTCACACGTCAGGGAGGGTACACAAGAGGTATGGATTGTGTGATGACTTCCTTGGGCAACTCCCCAGATTCCTCCTCAGATGTCAGGTTAGGGAGGTTAGGCCCATTTCTGGCACGTCAGAAACTGGGTTTACTGATGGCTCTGAACGGCCGTCCGAAAGAGATTTGGAGGAGACTTCAGACGGGGAAGTGTAAGACGCTAAGAAAAAGACTCAGGCATGTCTTGAGCAGAGATTTGAAGCTGCTGCAAAGCTGCTTGTCACAGCTTGAGACAGCTTGAGAATCTCTGTGTGTTTACTGTATTGGTTTTTATATACTTTTTACATACATAGGCTTAACCATTAAATGCTGACATTTTACATTCATAAGTTTAACCATTAGATGCTGACATAAAGTTTCTTCATAGGAAAATTCCTTCATATAAGCAACTATTTCCTAGTAACACATTACATGATCAAAGACCAGGTAAAGAACAAATACAGGTAGATCCAAAGGAGAAAGAACTAACAAAGACAGGAAGAGATGGGAAGGAACTTAAGCATATTATCTGTTTAGGTAGGTGAGGCATTAAGTCAAAAGGGGATGACCTTCTGGCTGCTTCATTGGGACAAAGGGTATCAAAAGGTTATGAGATTTGTGGGGGAGGGGAAATCACGGCAGTTTGCTGCGCGTGCATTTTTCCCCACAGGGAAGGTTTGCAGTGGCAGACGGGCCAGCGAAGAGAAGGAAGAACTGCCTTCTGCACCTGATCCGAGAATACGCAAGGCAGAGAAAAGGCAGGAGCAACAGAGGTCAGCCAGACTACTCAAGAGGAGAAGACTTTGGCAAATGTCTGATCACTGTAAATTTTTTCTCATTTCTCTGAGCAGAGTTTCCTGCTGTGATAATAAAGAAGGAAGAACAGGAAGATCGATGGGTGCTGTATCACCAGACCTCTGAAGGCAATGGGGCTTTCCCATCTGCTCATTCAGGTAAGAATTTTTATTTCACAAGGCAGCCAGATCTTGAAATAATGCATCATTATGTCATCAGAAGGAAGGAGAAGAAACATCAGCTTCCAAGATTGCAATAACAAAAACTATGAAGAGAAGCAATTCAACGTTTGTTTTTTTTACTGAATTTCCAGTACTTGGAGTAAAAATTGCTTTTATTACTGCCTGTCTTATTGTCACTATGTACTGAGGTCAAGATTGAAGGAACATTTTCTAGCAATGTCTATCTGTAGTGGCTGTTAGAACCAGCAAGTAATGCAAATTCAGACAGGCTTTATATCAGCGGTTCTCAACCTATGGGTCGCGACCCCATTTGGGGTCGATCGACCATTTCACGGGGGTCGCCAAGCAAGGCTGTCCGCCATTTTTTTGTCCGCCATTTTTCCCCCTTTTCCGGTGGGTGCCTTACCTCCCTTGGGCTGGGCCAGCTGGTGGTCGGCCTGCTCTGTCTCTGCCGCTTGCCAGCTACGCCTCGGCTGGCGCAGGGGGCGGAACCACGCATGCGCGGCGCTCCCGGGCAGGGAAAGTCCTCGACTTACGACCGGTTGGGTAGTCCTCAACTTACGACCGGTTTAGTCCTCGACTTACGACTGGTTTAGTCCTTGACTTACGACCGGTTGGGGGTCGCGGCATTAAAAAGGTTGAGAACCACTGCTTTATAATGAGTTATTATAAAATTATCGTTCTATCCATTTGGATCCCAAATATTCACAAATTGTATTGCTGTTAATGTTTTCTATTTGCTTCGTCACCAGATTCCAATTTGCCTGATTTGGCTATATTCTTAATTTAATTTTTGTACCCAAGTTCATTATTTGTCAAATGTGAAGGTGATGTCATTACACGTAGGTAGTATTGAACATTTCTCGCTGAGAGAAAAACTATAAGACTGATCAGCCTAATTTTCAGCTTCTGCAATTAGTGGAGAAACATAATTGTGTTGTCACTACCAATAGGGTAAAATTGTGGATTTTTAATGTGGTAGACTGCTGGAGTCACTGTGTATGTAAATTTGTTTAATAAATAAATACATAGGCCGTACTTTACACTTAAGGAGGACCCCTGAAGTTTTCTACTTGGTGATGTAAACTTGGAAAATAAAAAAGACCAGATTGTAAAGTGTAAAAGAATATACAGGTAGTCCTCAACTTTCAATCATTCATTTAACATCTATTCAAATTTACAACAGCACTGAAAAAAAACAACTAATTAGTCATCGCACCTAGCATCCCTGTGGTCATGTGATCAACATTCAAGTGCTTGGCAACTGGCATGTATTTAAGACGGTTGCAATGCTGTGGGGGTCACGTGATCATTTGTGAGAGGATCCCTACGGGCAAGAAACCTATCAGTGTGCAGACTGTGGGAAGCGGTTCCTTCAAAAGTCGCATCTTCTCATCCATGAGGCGATGCGTAAGGAAGAGGATCCCTACGAGTATTTTAAAGTCCAGCCAGCTTTTAACAAGCAAAGTCAGTGGGGAAGCTGGATTCGCTTAGGAACTGAATGATTCACTTAACAACCATAGTGAGTCACTTAACCACTGTGACATAAAATGTCATAAAATTGGATGTGACTCACTTAACAGCCTTTCTTTGCAATGGAAAGTCTGGTTACAATTGTCGTAAGTCGAGGACTAACTGTAACTATAATTTTCTCTTCCTCACGCTAGAGCAGTGGTTCTCAACCTTTTTAATGCCGTGACCCCAACCGGTCGTAAGTCGAGGACTAGACCGGTCGTAAGTCGAGGACTAGACCGGTCGTAAGTCGAGGACTACCCAACCAGTTGTAAGTCGAGGACTTTCCCTGCCCGGGAGCGCTGCGCATGCGTAGTTCCGCCCCCTGCGCCGGCCGAGGCGTAGCTGGCAAGCGGCAGAGACGGAGCAGGCCGACCACCAGCTGGCCCAGCCCAAGGGAGGTAAGGCACCCGCCGGAAAAGGGAAAAAAATGGTGGACAAAAAAAATGGCGGACAGCCTTGCTTGGCGACCCCCATGAAATGGTCGATCGACCCCAAATGGGGTCCCGACCCACAGGTTGAGAACCACTGCGCTAGAGGGAGTAAAAAGCACGTGATAACACCGTATCCTGAATTTGTTTGCCGCCATTTCCTTTGCCTGTTTTCACATTGTGATTTTCCGTTTATCCCACAGAAGAGGAGCTGAGACAGAGCTACGCGGGAAATAAGGAGAACAAATGTGCTGATTGCGGGAAAAGCTTCACGCAGAGGTCCAGCCTTGTCAGACACGAGAAGACCCATACAGGAGAGAAGCCATACCAGTGTTTGGAGTGCGGGAGAAGCTTCAGTCAGAGATCGATCTTGACCCGACACCAGAGGACCCATACGGGAGAGAAGCCATATAAATGCTCTCAGT